GCACCGGGATCGCACCCCTCGGTGCTGCGCCCGCACCTTGCTCAGCCAGTGAGCGGGAACTGGTCGGTATGTGGGATCCGAACCCTCGGTGGGAGTGCCCCCACGCTCCCAAGCGGCGCACTGTAGCAGTGCGCCACCGGGCCGGCCCAGAATTATTAGCTTTTTTAAAACATGAATTTTTTTTTTTCCTATTGTCTACTTAAGAATGTATTCAACACATACTCATTGTAAAGCGAGGACAAAATAAAAGTGAACAAGAATTATCCCAAGCCACAAGAACCCCGTATCTCATGAGAGAGATACTGCTATTCAAAAAAAAAAAAAAAAATACACCATGAAATATTGAATTCATACATTCATTCTTAGGCGAGGTCATTTTTTATTGTGTTGCTGCTTGGGGTCAAGATCTGGCTCTAATTTTAGTTTTCTTTTTCTTTTTTCTGTTTTAATTTAGCTGCATCTTTCCTGCTTGTGCCATTCCAAATTCCTAAAATCTGTTGGGCTCATCTGTATTTCCAATCACTTTTACTCAGAATGCACCAGCACTGCTTGGTTCTGCCTGGTACGACGGCCCTCTCTGCCCTTCAAAATTTCCCATGAGCTCTCCTAAGTGAAGATTTCTCAAAGTAAGTTGAAGCAAACATCTCTTTAGTGCTTCTGTATTTTCTCAGTTTTAAATATTTTTTTCTTTTAATTTGTTCCTCCAATTCAACCTAGAACTCCTCTAGAAAAAGAATCTTATCCTAATTTTCCTTGGATACCCATGGCCTAGCTCAGGAACACACACATGGTAGTTGCTTATATGTATTGGATGGAATGAAATGAATAAATCTATGAATTGGTGGCTCCATATACCAAATGTGTTACCAAATCCCTATTTGTCTGGGGCTGTGTGCAGTGTTTGACTTATGTGAGCACAGTAATCCTTTGACATGGGATTCAAACATGTTTCTCTGGAGTACACAGCCCTTTGCTGCAGAAAGGGCAATAAATCTAACTTTTTTGACACCAGGTGTTGCTGGTAGTCTTTGATTTGGTTGGTGAACTTTGACACTATTTTATTTGTATTCATACAGCTATCCCATGAAATAAAGCAGAGGTCAGTACATTTTTTTGTAAAGGGGTGGATAATAAATATTTTTGGTTTTATGATCCCTACAGTTAATATATTTGGTTTTGTGGACTGTAGAGTAAATATTTTTGGTTTTGTGGACAGCACAGTCTCTCTCCCAACTACTAAGCTACTGCTGTAGCTTGAAAGCAGCCAATGACAATATCGAAGCAAATATCTGTGGCCATGTACCAATAAAATCTTATTTATAAAAAGAGGCAGTGGGCTGGATTTGTCCTGTATAATTTGCAGACTCCTGAGAATTTTATAAATTTGTCTTATTTATAAAAAGAGGCAGTGGGCTGGATTTGTCCTGTATAATTTGCAGACTCCTGAGAAAGAGGAATTAGCGTACACTAAAGACAAAAAAATGCAGCACTGAAAAACACTAAGTATCATGTCCATTTTCACACAATTCAAACTGTAGTGAAGTTGAGATTTAATCCCAGAGCATCTCATGCCAAACTTACATTTCCATTACAGGTACAGATTCTTTATAGAGAGCCAACTTATATGGTTCAATAATTAGGATATCAGGAAAACCTCCTCCTCAACCTGGCCTCAAATCTTTCCTTCACCCATTCACTGAGTTTAGTAAGTTGCATACACAGACATTCTGCCTTTGGATGTAAGACTTTTCTGCTTTCTGAATTCCAAACAGCTCTTTGAAAGATTAACAGATTAAGCTGTATTGATTATATATTGATAAGAAATATATTGTCGAAACTCTCCTATAAAGCTGCAAGGTTTGCATTCTTGGGAAGGTGGGAGGAAGAAGGAAAGATGAGGGTAATGAAAAGGACACTCCCGATATGGGGTAAGGCAGGATCAGGAGAGGAAAACATTCACAGTCCTTCTGTCCTTAAGCTGGTCAATGCCCACGTGCTCATCTATTCGGTGGGTCTGGTGAAAAGGGAATAAATATGTTAATCAGGCTCATTCAGAATATTTTAGTCTAAAGAGTTCAAACCAATGTTTGGGTAGCTGAGAAACATTTATTAGGATTCTACTTTTTGAGAGCCAGTGCAACCCTGTAGAAAACTAGTGTAACCAACAGCACAGTAAGCCTAGAGCCCAGGACATCAGGAAACTCATGGGACTCCTGAGCCAAACCCATCACTTTCTTGGCATCACCTGAAGTTAAAGAATCTTCATAGTTACACCCAAAGTCTTTATTAAATTACTAGTCAAGGATCTATGGTGTTCACAAGCCCTTTTATGTTTCTAATTTCCTTGATAATCTGTGACATTGAGAAGTCGCCAGCAGATAAACAAGATAGAAGTTTCAATACTATGTTTAACTTCTATGGGATTTTGTCTTCCTACTTGCTTTTATCCTATGCAAATTTTAATCTTTAATTATAGATGTAGGAACATATTTTTTTATATAAGATTGAACCACTGTTGCTTTACTGCAAGGATTCAAGAGCAGAAATCAAACAAGTAGTGTTGCTGACACACGCCATAAGTAACTTTCAGTAGTAAACAAAAATGGAATAAAATCATATCTACCATATTTTGAAAGGGTATGACATCTGATTTATACTCTGTGAAAGTCATAAAAATTAAAAGATTTGAATATGTACATTTTTTCAAACATCCAAATTTTCATCAAATTGAGGGATTCAGAGCATTTTCTCTTCACTCCATTCTTATTTTGGAGTGTTAGAAGAATGTTCCCATTCTACGAGGCAACTATAAAACATTTGGAATCTGTCAACCTTAGAAATATTCCTCCCACCTCCAAAAGAGAAAGCTACCTTTCCATTAGAGACAGTCTTATGCCTTACTTCCTTCAAGGGACTACTTTATAAAACAGAACGAATGTTCAGCCTTTGCTTGCATAGAAATATTTATCATTAAAACACCTAGTAGCCTGCAGAACTGGAAAAATATAATTCAAAAAGTAATTTATATACTGACATTTACTACTCTCCTTCCTATAAAATATAATCTCCCTTGCTTACACTATAAAGTTGTAATTATTCTTTACTTCTAGTTGGTTCATGATGAAATATATAGTGTTCTTGTAAAAGTCATATAGCAGTGTTTATGAGATTATATATCAATATTGGGATATAAAATCCTGACAAACATTCAGCTATATCCTATGTAATTCGTTGTAAAGCCAGTCTCAGAAAAGGACCTTGACGCTCAGAGTCATCCAATCGAATAGGCAGTGTCCTGTTATCATGATTCTAAATGCAACTCATCTCATGAAAATTCATTTAACTGCCATAATTCTAGTACCTTCCCATTTCGCTTGAAATTCCCACCAGGAAGAATTCCTCTGAAATAGTCAACCAGGTAAAAACACAAATGCTTGGAGGATATAGTTAAAATATGCAAATGGCCTGCAGAAGATGAACAACCTTGGTTGCTGTGAGAGGAGACCAAAAGCCGTTCTGTCTCCCTTCCCCTCTATTATTTACTGCCATTTAAGACCAATCAATTGAAACCTTTGCAAAGCTATACTGTTGGAGTGTGGTGTAGAAGCAGTTGAATGGAAAGATAGTTGCACTTGGCTTCATTACAAACATTTGTTGAATCCCTACTATGTTACTGGAAGATTCCAGAAAGCTACAGAGATTGGGAAAAGTTGCAGGACCTAAAGATGAGATAAGGTCAACAGGAAGCAGTAAGTGAAGACTCCCAAGTTTCTGGTCATTAGAAGCATCCATGGAAACAACAAATTCGTGGGGACATCAGGCTAAGTGGAAGGGTGACCTCAACTTGGAACATGTTGTGTTTGAGATGTGTGTGACATCTTTATCTGAATGTGTGTGACATTCAGATAAAGAGAGTGACCAGCTCGAGAAATCTAGTATGAGTGGAGAAATCAAGGCAAGAGTTGAGCCATTGGGAACAATCCACAAGTAGATGGTGACCTAAAAATGTCAGAGCAGGTAAGGTGGAACTTTGGAGAGCACCAGTAAAATTTAAAAGAGATATCAGGAAAATCAGAACTTCTAGAGGTCAAATATATGGGGTTAAGGAGTATCAAGTGAGAAAGCATCACTAAATAAGGCCAAATGCATCAGAAAGGGTCAATGCAATTAGGAAAGGAAACATCCATCAGATTTAGAAACTAGCAAGAGCAGGTTCAGTGGAAAAATGAGAAAATAGAGTGCAAAAGCTTGAGAAAAATATGGGAGAGAAAGACAAGATGGTAGCTAGAATAGAGCCAGACACAAGGAAAGGTTTGCTTTAGAATTGGAAGCTGAGTGGATCTAGCCAGAGGGAAGGACGAGGTTGAAGTTGTAGGCAAGACAGGAGAAAACTGATTAATTAGGCTTCATGAATATTTACAGACAGTGATTGTACTCCAGGGACTATGATGGAGGCTGTGGCACGAGGTCGAAGTTGTAGGCAAGACAGGAGAAAACTGATTAGTTAGGCTTCATGAATATTTACAGACAGTGATTGTACTCCAGGGACTATGATGGAGGCTGTGGGCACACAGAGAGATAATTGGTGGTCACTGACCTAGATGAGATTTTACTTCATCGAAGCAGGCATCTGAGTGGGAAGGGATGGGTCTAAAGCCCACATAGCGGGTCTACCATATGCAGACGGAAGGATAAATACAGAGGACACCTTGGAATACAGAGGACAGGGGAAGATACACATGGGTGAGGGGCTAGTTACGTTCACATTTGTGGGGAATTTTATGGCTTACCGAGAAGGAGGGATTTAGACCAGACTGTGTGATGCAGCTTAAGGTGAGAGAGAAACGTTTGCAATCATACTTGAGAGGATGGAAGGAAGACCTAATTAAAGATCTTCCTGGGGATGACCCAGAAAGAGTAAAAACCTGTAGATGGGCAATGGATAACCATGGCTCCATAAAAGTCCTGTCTGAGAGTTGGACCACAGCCAGGCTTTAGGTAATGTATCCTTAACAATGACAAGGTGACGTTAAATTTTTTTCTCCTTGCTCTTTGTTCTGGGAATAAATACATATTACATTATGGGAGTTTGCAATCCCATATCATTTCTAATGGGGAAAGAATACTGTTTACTGGAAGAACCAGAGAAGATTGAAGAGGTGTACAAATTTTCCACAATAGATGAAATCCCTACCACCAGTGAAAAAAGAATGGTCTTACATGAAGTAAAAGTTTAAAGGATTTTGGCCTGAAAAAAGGGTTAAGGGAGGAATAAGGGAGATGAAGTTATGGGAAAAGTGGAAAAAAAGAGGAAAAAATGAAAAAAAAAGTGAAAGAAAAAGCAATCAGTGGCTCTCTTCAGAGTGGATCTCAGAAAAGGAAGAAATCCGTAATCTGATTAATAATTTCTAAATAATGCTTCATCTGCTATCTAAAAAATGGATATTTAAGAAAGAGTAGAAACATGAATACGAATTAGGAGGCTATTTTAATTTTACAAGAACGAGGTGAGCATGGCCTGAACAAAGGATAGAATTGGACAGATCCTGCATATAACTTCAAACTGGAGACAAAAGAACTTTCTGAAGAATTAGATTCCTGGAGAGAAAGAAAAGGAACATGGTGCGACCATTTGCTGAGACAGGAGAGCCTGAAGAAGGAATGGGTTTGAGTGGGAAATGAGGAGTTTAGTTTTAGATGTTTTACCTTTGAAATATCTGCTGGCCAAGTGGAGGTGTTGCATGGGCGGGCAGCTGTCTATAGGACTCTTGAGTTCAGGGGGTGGTCAGGGCAGGAGGCTCAGGGATGGTGGTTAAATCCACACAACTCAGTGAGAGCTCATCCAGAGAATGGCCCATTCCCCTTAGTTCCTCTCCCATGCTCTTTTCTGGCTCTGCCCACACAATTCTCTTTTCCAACTTTGCACTCAACTTTACTGCCACCTGTGTGTGGAATGATATCTATGCCTTGTAAGCCTACAAATCACTCTCTCTTCAGGACTTCATGAGGAATGATGTGACCTCATTCCCCACCTCCATGTTAATTTTTTATGCTTCCAATGTCTCCAGGAGCTCTGTAGGCAACACACGGACCTCTGTGTAATTATTTTACAAGTTTATTGTCCATATTCAAAATTAGGCACTGTTAAGGCAGAGATCAAAGTACACCCAGTCCAAGCTACAGAGATTGGGAAAAGTTGCAGGACCTAATTTTGACTCTGCTCTTGTTTTGCTTAGTTCATGGCAAACATACTCGTTAAGAAGAAATAGAAACAAAAAGAACCAATATGGGAATGACTTAGTAAGTTTGCACAGTGGAGTGTTGGGTAGCTTTTCAAGCAGTGATTATGACCACTGTGTAGGACCAACAGAAGTGGGCATGCCATATTTTTAGGAGGGAAACAACAGTTTAAAGCAGTTTAACTGTATGTATTTGCCTTAAAAACAAGTATGCATAGGTACAAACCATATGAATATATAAACAGCTCATCTGTTAGAATGAGACAGGATAAACTTTCTTGTTAAATTTCCATTACAACACTAAAATATTACACCTATAACAGATAAAAATCATAAGAAAGAATTCAAGAATAAAACTCTTTTGTATACATCATAGTTCAAATGATATAGTTCCATGTTTATTGGTACAAATATCTACTTTTTTGTAGTCTGTTTCTGTTGCTTCTAACGAAATACCTGGAACTGAGTGATTTATAAAAAAAACAAAATTTTTGGCTTACAGTTTTATAGGCTGAGAAGTCCAAAGTCCAGGGAACACACCTGGTGAGGGTCTTTTTGGTGGTGGCTTTACAGCAATGCTGTGGTCTCACATGGCAGAAAATAGCACAGAGAGAGAGAGACTCTCATGTGCTCTCCTGTTAAAGCCCTCAGAACCACGTCCCCAACCACCCATTAAACCATCAACTTAATGACCTCTTCAAGGCTCCACCTTTCAATTATCATATTATGATTTTTTACCCTCAACAGTTACAGTGAGAATTAAGCCTCTAATATATGGGTTTTGGGGGACACAATTCAATCAATCCACAGCAGACAGGATAAGCATTCTTGTTAAATTTCCATTACAACACCAAAATATTACACCTATAATAGATTAAAAATCATAAGAAAGAATTCAAAAGTAAAACTCTTTTGTACATCCCAGTTCAAATGATATAGTTCCCTGTTTACTGGTATGAAGATCTATCATCTAATAAAAAAACACTCTCTCTCTGCTGTACCTTGGTTTCAGAAGGTACTTGAGAGGTTACAATCACCTAGAGAACCATGACAAGGTCACTTACTGTTGTTGACAACATGTGTGGGTGTGAAACGCAAGGACACCTTGGTACTCTTCAGGCGTTTCTGTCCCCAGTACGCGATGGCTTGCAGTTCCACAACGTAGTCGCAGTCCGGCTGAAGTCTCTCCAGGATCACAGAATTCTGAAACTAGAAATGAAAAGAAGATACCCAAACTCCGTTACAACCTTCCATGCCTCTCTTCTTCATTGCAAAATCTTGTACATCACTATGAAGCATACCAACTTCTTTCTGGCTTATATACGTCTTTCATGTTCTAAGATCCAACACTTTTCTATACCTTTAGGATCTGAAAATCCAGTCCTGTGAGCTTTCTTTGAAATGTTCATGGAAAATTAGAATTAAAAGGTAATACAAATGTTGCCATGAACTTTTTGAAGCACCCTCTTGCTATGGGGTAAAAATAAACGTCATGGAAAGGCCAAATATATACTTTTAAATTATGTTCCTAATCCAGCTATTTGATACTCTTGGGTAGCATAGACATGAATTATGTGACCACTCTCCTCTCTGGCTACCACTTTGCAGAGAAAAGAGGGGTGTTCATAATATACCAACAGAGGTTTATGTTGCCACATACCTGGAAAAATGATGAATCAGCATTAGTTGCATTTCTTTGATATCTATTCTAAATCTTCTATGAGTAAATTTCCACCAAAAGTCATAAGAAAAATCAGCCTGACAAAATGCTTCAAAATTTTTCCGCCATCATTATTGTTAATGTCAAGTGCTCATCCAATTTCCTTTGTGATGCTAATGTTAAACAAAGCAAGTCAAAACAATATAATTTGCCCAATAGTTTGAGGCCAGACAGGAATTCTACTAAGGCTAAGGAATCAAGGGACATGTCCACCAAAATATGGGTTTCATAACTCTGAACCTAGTGTTTTTTCTACAGCTTCCAGGTATAAGAGTATAGTATAAGTCCCTTCCAAGAACTTGTCATTAAGAAAAATAAGGTTGTGGTCCTAGATTTCAAAACACTCATCAAAATATAATACATGTGATGGTATCATATGGTTTCTATGCCCAAAGAAGACTTGCCTATAAATGGTCAAATGGTGGTATTAACATTTATGGAGAAAAAAAAAGTGTCAATTATTAATGCAACACCAAACATAAGGGAGGTAGTAGTATGTGCTTTCCAGTGGGGAGCATTCCAGTCTTATGTACACCACATGCTACACTAAGGGTATTGCTGTCTGAAATCATCCAGTATTGAATCACATAAGCAAATCTCTTGTTTAACTTCCACAACCACCTGATTATAAATTTGGGTCTTGTGAGATCTCTTTTCAGGGAGAAAATATGATTTTCATGAACATCTCAGAACCATGAGTAAATTAATAGATGACACCATTATATGCTCAGGCTTTTGAGGGATTAGTTATCAGAAATCAGCTTTTTCAGCTCTGGTCAGCTCTGGAAGGTGGATATGAATGCATTTCCAGAAGTGGAAAGTTGAGTCAGACTCTGGACTGTGGTTGCTCTTCCCAGGGGATTCCTGGACAGCTCTCAGCAGCCCACTAGCTGCTATGGCCAGGGAACCCCCCTGCCTCATCATGGGCTTTTTCCTATTTAACCATTGGCACATCTGCATATACTTCTGATTCCCTGTTTCTTTTAGCTAGGGTTTCTTGTTTGACTGCATATCACAACCATTACCTTCAAATACGTGAACTAAAATCCACTTTTGAAAGAGCATTTTCTTGAAATTTCCCACTCCCCTGAGTTCCCACAGACATTAGGATGTGGTATCTTAACATGACAAACCACTGATCCCTAAGAAAAAAAACTACATGATGTCTCATGTTCTT